CAACGCTTGCAAATGTCGTCCGAGTGGTCTGATACACGGATTAGACGAGAGAGTTGACTGAATAATGCAGGCCGGGTCCGCTATCGAACAACGCATAGAGAACAAACGCAACGGCCATATGCGCTCACCACATCGTTCCCACTAGCCACCACATGCTTCAGTCAGAGTGGCATCCGACTGGCGTGAAAAGCTAGCGATCATTCTTCCTGACCAAATTGAAACAATCAGGGAAGGAAGGTACCATCGAACAGACCTGACTCAGTGATGTGACGACTGACGTATTACACGTTGTCTTTCCAAATTGACCAAAAAAAAACTTTGTATAAAAATAACATAAAACTTTGTTTTTTTATACAATGCAAGAACGACAAAGGATTGTCTTCACGAGCATTTCAATTCTGGTCGACATCAGCGCATTACTCGCATTTTATTCAGAATCCGAACACAACGCTCAATTACCTAAATCAACAAACCATCTGTCCGACATTATGACTTTTGACTCAGTTTGATTTAACTCTTCCTGCAGCCGCGGGGCCATCCGTTCCCTGTCGGTTTGTTAGCGATTGCTCGGGAAGCGTTGGTGATACGCCGGTGCTGAAAACTGGCATAGCTTGCCCTAGATCAAGGCTCCTAAGATTGAAGCGAGATTTGTGACACAGGCTGAATTTTCAGGTTAGGTCAGGTCGCTGCCGTATGATAATTGATGTCATTTAGGTTAACCTCCACGGTCCTCGGAATGCCTGCACGATTCAGGGAATCTTTCGTAGGGAGATAAAAAATTTCAGGACCTATAGTAAATATTCGAGACTCTCAAGTAAATTTTCGCGTTTTTTTTCCCTCAAAAGTCACCTATGAGGTCATGTAAGGCCTCGTGACCTCACCATTATACATAGGATGTAGACGAGGTTCAGGGTTGCACACCGGTCCCAAAATCGCAACTCTGCTATTATTGTTGTTGAAGTTATTCACCAAAAACCGAGCCTGTACCCTGGGGTATGTGCCCTAGGACCTGAAGTCACCTGAGACCTTAACCCTCGCCGGCCGAGGGGGGGGGGGGGCGGATGCCGCCCCCTCCATAGGGTTTTTCGCGATAGCTCCGAACACTCCGGCGATAGAGAGCTGACATTTGGCATACCTGACCTTTGATTCAAGCCGGATCTTTTGACACAAACCGCATGTTCGGGTCAGGTCAGGTCACTGACCTATGACGTCATAAGTGAACCTCTGCACGGTCTTCAGATGTCGCAACTTCGCAACGCCCTCACTGCCAGAGGAGCTTTCACAGGGAAATGAAACTTGCAGGATCTAGTATCCATTACGAGTCTCACAACTTGTATATCTCGGATTTCTCCTACAGGTCATATGAGGTCAGGTCATTTTCGTGACCTCACCATTATAAATCAATGGAGAAAAATGAAAACCGCTATTCTGGCGCCGGGAACGATCTCCAACTATCTCAAGCACTCAGAATCGTGATTTGATGCACTCCTTGCAAGGTTAGATGCGTCACTTTTGCAATGTTGACCTTGCGTGAAGTCATTTGTGACGTCATCAAGGTCATATTAGTTTCTCGTCAATAACTCCCGATCAAATTGAGCTAGCGAGTCGGGAAAGCCACCAATGGACTCAGGAAGACCTGCCAAATCGAATGATATGCGACATGACCTCTTTCGACCAACTTCGTGACCTGGGGGCGCTGACCTGACCGTGACCTGAGGTCAGCACCCTAAGTTGACCTGACCCAAACTAAAAGTATATCATTCAACGCGCCTGAGCGAGGCGATCACGATGCTCGGCTCTGCGACCGTTTTTTGCGAATTTATTCACCAAAAACTGAACCGTACCTTGGGGCACTTGACATGACCTCAGAGGTCACCGGTTGACCAAGGACCTTAAAATCGGGTACCAGTCTCTGCGTCTCGTAACGGGGCACACGTTCGTTTTTCCGCTACGCGCTAGCTCCACCGACCACCAGGGGCGAAACGGCGAGGGGGGGGGGGCCGGGGGGGGGGGGGGTCGTACCCGCCCCTCCCCCTCGGCCCCCAGCCAGCAATTCACTTGGGCTGAACTGTGGCAAACGTCGGGCAGCTTGGGCTTAGCTTGGGTTTGCCCACTTTGATCAAAAGCAATGTATTTTTTACTAGGGCTGAGCTTGGGCATGCCGCAGCTATGCCCACGTGCGGATAGCAGTAGCTCAGCCCGACATCTGCCCACGCATCCAAAACAGGCTTAACTTGGGCGGAGCGCGGGCTGATCAAGCTGGCTGTGTCCTTCGGCTAACTGGAGTAAAGCCGGAGTTTAGCCATACTTGTTCGGCTGTTCGCGCATGCGCAGTTCTGCGCCAATCATGTGCAGCGTTTGTGACAGTCTGCGCGCTGTGCGACGAAACGACACACCGGTGTTGGGGCATTTGGTGGTTGATGTTTGGGCGCGTGTGACAGCGCGAAGAAGGGATAGTGCTCATTGCTCTTATCAAGTGGACTGGCATGGAGTTTTACGGTAGGTAAGTGTATTGAATGGTGCGCTTGATCGTATGTAAACGTCATTATTTTGACTGAGTTTCACGCCATCAAACATGAAGCTGAATAGCTGTTCAGCCTGGCGACTTATACCCTCGCTCAGAAAAGCCGCATTCCGTGCCTTTATGTATATCTTTGTGAAATACCAGCACTTCTGAACCAGGAAAATGAAATACAAAACACAAATATTTATCTACTTATCACCGAGCACGCTCATTCTCTGTCCGCGTTGAAAAATTCGAATGAACATTTTTTACGGATCAATGAGAAGTGCTGTTACAGTATTAATGCAACAATAAGTTATTTTTCAAGCAAACATGCAATGTAAATTAAACCAATTGATCTCTTTTTCAGGTACGTACCATTAGAGCAAATTGTTCCAAAAAATGGAATAGTTATACAAACCAGGACCGGGTGGACGCCGCTGCCGCCCTCGCCAAGTGGTTTAGCGGAAACTGCCTGCTTATAATTAAGTAGGTATACCTACATATACGGAAACTGCGCCGAAAGCTGGCCGACCACCTACTACAGATGTGTGTGTGTGTGTGGAGGAGCCAGACGCCTCCAAAGCTCCCATTCACCAGAGTGAAGTTCTTTATAAACGATTGTTTGCTAATTGCTTTATGTCTTATGAGCGATTACTTGCTGTCCTTACTTTATGCTTTCGGTTAAAGGGACTATCCCACCTTTAACATGGGGTTTGAGTTGAGATAGCCAAGTTTGCGGCGAGGTTCAGAAACCACTATCTATCTAGGTTGCAACCCCCGCGGCCTCTTGGTGTTGAAGAAATTCGTTCCCTTCATTTGAAAATGGGCCTTGTACAAGGCCCTATCTTCAACATGGAGCGACCGTTAGTGTGACGTCACCTCGTTTAGTCATTCTGATTTAAATGGGGTTGTTCGTTGAAAAATCGCTTAAAACTTGGTCTGAACTTTGTTGTGGTGCCTACAGAGTGAAAAGAATCAGCTTTATGACAGTAATGTGACCTGGGGAAGGAGGTAATTTTGGGCTGTGACGTCACATATTTGAAAGTTTGTGTTTGGAATATGGGAAGCCTAAGATGTTTAATGAAAAATAAATGCCAGAACCGTGTTCCTGGTCATCCAATCTATAAAGTCGGGCACAATTTAACTGGTTTTAACAACATTTTAGAAGGTGGGATAGTCCCTTTAAGTGCTCAACCAAGTATTATGAACGCCGAACGGGGAGGAAGGCTAGCGGGTCTTGTGATTGATTTATAGTTTTGATGGCGCTTTTTCATGACTCATGCCATATTATTGCTGCAGTTTGCAGTCCACTGTTTCATGTATTTGTGTTTCATTTGACGTGTCTGTAGTCGTTTGAAATAAACATTCAATCAAAGTCAACCACTACTTTCCTTTCGCAATGCTCGATGACCGGTTAACAGAGTATATGAGTGACCGTAGCAATTTTAAATATGCATTAAAACCACACAACCTGCTGAAAGTGCATTGGCTGCTCCTTGCTACTTGATCCAGTGTGAAGCAAAAGCAAGATGAAGTCAAGTCGAGACTTGAGAAAACAGGAGCCGTCACTCGAGCCGAACCCGAGCAAAGCCACAGCAGTTTGCAATGTATAAACCCCATTCACTTCTATGGCTTAAGTCGGGATAGACAGGGCACACAGAGTGGGCTTGCCGGAGTTCAGCCCGCTCGGGCCCAGAGTAATTTCCATTATATAAATGGATTCACTGCTCGGGCTTAAATCGGGCTAACGCCAATCGTCGCTCAACTAGGGCTAAACTACGGCTGTCCGGAGCTCGCAGAGCGGGCATACCTCCGGCAGAGCATGGGCTTTAGTCGGCGTTTCTGTGTCATACGCCGACTTTAGCCCAAGCCCTAGCCGACTTTAGCCCGACTAAAAATCTCGGGCAATCCGCACTTGAGCCTGCTTGGGCCCGGAGCAAAATTGCTGGCTGGGCCGGCGCGTATGTAGAAAACCAATAGGTCCGACGAGGGTTAAAATTGGTAACTCGGCATAAACCAGGCACTGCGTCTTGTGACGGTGTCACGGTACCTAAGCACAATTGTTTTTTTTTCGCGTGGCTCTCCTGCGAGGGTCAGCCCTTCCCTGGACCCTGCCAGAGCCTTTCAGCGAGCTGTAAAGGTCGTTTCATCCTCCCAGGCTCAACACCAGCCGCCCCCTTCTCCTCTCTGTCCCTCAGATCAGTCATCAGTGGGCGACTTTTGGGCTTTGGTGAGCGGTTACAGGCGTACCTCACCCTGGTCCAAAAGTAGTTGGTCTAAGAACACCTGCCACATAGACCTGCCATCTGGCGACCACTGGTAAAAGTATAATAGTGCTACGATTTCTTTTGATTTGCTTGGCTTCAAATAACAATTTCAGGAAACATTTTCAAAAAAAAAAATCTTATTTAATTTTTACATTGCATTTATACGCAAAATAATGAGTTTCAACATCTAATAAATGAACGATGATTCACACCGGCAGGACCATCTCTTTCTCTGTTGACGAACGCCATTGTGAGCCCTAAGCGCAGTGCGTGTTTGTTGTATTTGAAGTGCTAATTTTCTGAGTTTTTCACAGATTTCAAAGGTATTTTTTGGTTAGTAGCTTCTTTATGCTCACTAGAACGGTCTGATCAATTTTCATTTGTGGATTGTTCATAGGACGTCAAGAAATCGGTGCCGAACTTTGCGACGCGTGCGAAGGGCGGGAAAGCTGAAAGACGCCATTTCGGCCCCACGTGTTCCTCGGCCGGGCCGGCGCCAAAATTGTTTATCGGTGTCAATATTGTTGTTCATATTAAAAGCATGTGATGATTGTGAAGGTACTTTTCTTTTCTCCTACCGCGAGTTGCCGATTCTCGTTCATTTACATTGACCTTTCTCCCCCGCAGTTTATCTGGCTCAATCATGGCGCAGACAGCTGATATGCCCACATTCAAGTGTGTGTTGTTGGGAGATGGTGGCACCGGTAAAACAACTTTTGTGAAACGTCATCTAACTGGTGAATTTGAGAAGAAGTATGTTGCCACCTTGGGTGTGGAAGTCCACCCTCTTGTATTCCACACAAACAGAGGAGCCATCAGGTTCAATGTTTGGGACACCGCGGGACAGGAAAAGTTTGGTGGACTTCGTGATGGCTACTACATTCAGGTAAGTTGAAGGTAGCCAGGGTGCCTGGCAGTTCAGGTGAGGGTCATGACCATTTATTGGTTACAAATTGCCACTTCTTTGTAAGGGCTACTCCCCCAATGACCAGCAGGACCAGTTGCTGTAACTATTTGTATCCCCACAGGCACAGAAGCTTATGACTACAAAGCATGTGACAGGCATTTGCAGAGACCTTTCTTCACATTGTTGAAATCCTTTCTCAAAAGCTAAGATGTGACATATTTTGTTTTGATTTTAGTTATCCTTCTGATTCTGAAGACAGAATTGGATGTAAGGAAAGTTGTGTTTTTAAAGTCAAAATAACTTCATGCTTGGGAGATGCTTGCTAGACAAGTGCAGCACTTATGATGGATCAGACAACTGACAAGCTTCTGGCTTTGAATGTATAAATCTAAATTATGCTATAAATGTCCTAGTGAGCTTTTATGCAAGAATGTGGTCTGGGAGTGCGGGCTCTCACGCACCCTTTTCATTATGTGCTTTGAACTACAGACTGATGTAAAGTAAATGTTTAAAACAGTCAGAAGCTCAAGTACCTTCCACTGGCCTTAAACTAGCCACAGATTTGTCAGCTCCCAATAACCGCAGGGCACAGGGCAATCTGTTGGTGTTACTCTAAATGACAAGAATTGAGTCAAACCATTTAAGAACCTCTCTTCTTTACTTTAAGCATCAACACTGGATGTAATTTAAAGGGGTTAACTCCCCATAGATAGTCAGCTTAAGCAATCAGCACACCCTGATCATATTCATAATATATCTAAGAAATCTGTCCTTGTGTTACAGGGCCAGTGCGCCATCCTGATGTTTGACGTCACATCAAGAGCCACGTACAAGAACGTGCCCAACTGGCATCGTGACCTGGTGCGCGTGTGTGAAAACATCCCCATCGTGCTCTGCGGCAACAAAGTTGACATCAAGGACAGGAAGGTCAAGGCCAAGTCGATCGTGTTCCACCGGAAAAAGAACCTCCAGGTCAGTGTCAGCCATCGGATCATCCACATTTTGCGATTTTCCGGAACACTCACGTTGTTGACGGTTTTCTTATTATTATTGTTTATCTATTGGTACTCTTTGTTGGCTGTAATTTCACATTGAGTCGCATGTGGGAGGACGGATGAGAAAGTAATTCAAGAAGATTGCATATCGGGAACAATGTAACGGCTCTTCGCACCCACTTCCCGGATACAACTGATGCGAGCATGATTCTACGTTTTTAAGTAGGCTCGCATGCGATTTCCAGACTGCGGACTTGCGAAGTCTGTTTCAGCCTTAACTGTCGGTCTGCCTCAGTGCGTCGAATGCAATAATGATAATGCGCGATTTACCATAGGTTTCGCAGCGTTTTAGAGCGAGCTTGTGTTTCCGATGATGTTAACTGTTTCACCGTCTTTTGTTTTAGTACTACGACATCTCGGCCAAGTCCAACTACAACTTCGAGAAGCCGTTCCTGTGGCTGGCGCGGAAGCTGATCGGCGACCCGAACCTCGAGTTTGTGGCGATGCCGGCGCTCGAGCCGCCAGAGGTGCAGATGGACCCCAACTGGCAGAAACAGATCGAGAGCGAGCTCAAGGTGGCCACCGAGACGGCGCTGCCCGAGGACGACGAGGACCTGTGAACGCCCCCCCCCCCCCCGCATCCCCCGCTCGCGACCGTGCTGTACCCGCGTCCCGCCGCGCCGTGTCCTATGGCGTCCCCCGACCCCTCGGCGGCATTTACTGGCTCCGGGAGCCGCTGTGCGCTGCGATGCGCGCGCGATGCTCTATTGCTTCGCCCGGCGCCGTCTGTTGCGTTGTGTTCGTTGATTGGGAATAAAACCAAACGTGTACTGTTTGTCAGTGTTTGCTCGGTTTGTGGAGGCTATGAAGGGAACTACTTCGGCGTTCGGCACGATAACTTGATGAATTGCTGTGTATCCTTCTTAATGTGACGCAGATGTGTATCTAATTACGACCTCTAGTTAGCCAAGACACATCGGTTTTGGGAGATCGTGCAGAATCTCCCTAGTACCACACAACATCGACTATCAACACGTGGCTATCCATCCTTGGAGGCACCACGGTATAAAGAAGACATTGGGCTGGGCACAAAGGGAGCCACTGCAATTCACTCAAACGGTCTTTGATGCGCGGCTGCTCAGTGCTCAATCATTTTGGATTACATCCCTTCACACTTTTCTTCCGCCGGAAAAAATCCTTTAGTGTACCTAGAATATGGTAGCTATCTGGTAGCAAAGGTGTGGTACAAATGAGGCGAAAGCGCCGTATATTTTGTGTGCATTCCAAACTCGGGAATCGAGGGAAACGTTTCCGCTGACTTACTAGCCAAACAAGCTGCGCTGCTCCCTGTCCATGAAGACCTGAAAATATCACTAGGAGACGCTCTTCACACAGTGAAGATGAAATTTGCCGAATACCTACAGGAAAAGTGGGAACACAATCATTCGAACCACATATTCAACATAAAGCCCAAGCTATGCCCGTGGCCCTCAGCCTCCCAAAGCAGCAGGAAACGTGAAGTCCGTGAAGTATTGCTAGCTCGACTAAGGTGCGGACATACACGTGCAACACATAGCCACTTGTTTGACCGTACAGCCCCGCCCATCTGTCCCACATGCGACGTGCGGCTTACGGTCGAGCATATCCTTATAGGGTGCATAGGGCTTGTCCAAAATCGGCTTCACATAAATAACTATTTACGACATCATGGTTTGAGGAACAACCTAAGTACATTGCTAGGGAATGATTACCCGGATCTAACTGACCTAGTCCTTGAATTTATAATGAACTCCCCCTATGTAGACAAGCTATGAAGAGACTAGTAGGACACCTCCTATTGTAGCAACGAACAATCTGCCCGGGACGCTCGGATCTGAAGTAGAGGCCAGCTGGGCTCCCAACAGATTCATTGCTTTGTGGCGGTCCAGGATCTGAGAGAGACGCTGGACCTGGACCTCAACGGTTATATTCGGGCGGTACCGAAGCAGCTCAATCCCAACTACCATATACTCACATCACAATATCCCGATGGCTCTGGGTCTGGAAGAGCGGCCGGACCCGAGCCAACGGGCCTGATGAAACCACTCTCAACGAGCCGCCCCCGCCCTACCCCATCCGGGCCAACCCGTGCCCGGCCGCCTAGCATCTGCTGGGCAGGCCGGGCCGCCGGCCCGTCGCGCGGACCGCCTGTGGCCCGCGCTGGACGGGCCGGTGGTCAGGGGGCGCCGCCCCGCGGTGATAGGCGCAAGGCGGCGCGGGCGGGGGCAGAGACTGGGCCGGAACAGCCGACCAGGCCTGAAACTACATCAACCGACGAGATCAACCGACATCAACTACATCACAATCCAGACAAGGTTAGTGGAGGTAAGGACCCAAAAACCTCGTAACGTAAATAATAGGGTTTTCCCCACGCACATGTAATATAATAAGGTGTTTTGGCCTATATTACTAATAATTCCACTTATTTGAAAAATTACATTTGCGTGGGTTTCCCTATTCTGCCTTAAAAAGTGGCCACCGGTCTCGCTTCACGAGCCGGATAGCCTCCTCCTCGCCAGGCCGAGGATATATAAGGCCACTAAAAGAAAAAAAAATTGCTGATAGTAGGCGAATTATTACGGTATTTATTATTGCATTTAGTTGTGAACGTATTTGGGAATCACTTCGTGAATATCCGGTACCTTCTGTTTTGCTGGAGGTATTTTGCCACGCAATAAACCCTGACACAAGGCCCTATATACCAGGTAGGGTCGTCCGGCGCAAGGCCCTAAATACAAGGTTGCACGGACTTATTTCTACTAAACCTACCAGAATATAGTTTCACGGTTGATTATTTAAATAATTATTCAATCAAAATTTCTTTATTATTATCTCGTAATCATTTATAAGCAATTTTATAAATCAACTTTCAATTTGCTTGCCTTTTACTAGCAAAATAACTTTTCTAGTATTGGGTCAACATAGTGGTGCAGCAGTAGGAACCAAATCTGGCAAAACCCCAGGGACCGCGGATTCCGGGGGGCAGGGTGTGCAATTGCACACCCTGAAAATCCTGAGGGTGTGCAAACACCTATTTTTGCACACCCACAGTTCGTTGTGGGGGCCCATGCGGCCCTGGCGCTTGAGTGTCCCAAGCCGATTCTCGAGGGCCCCAGCGCGAGCCTGATGGTCCCGCACCGGTGCCTGAAGGCGTGAACAGGCTCTAGTGTTATCTCAGGGGTTATCTCAGAACCCCACCCACGCCATTTTTAGTGCTCCCACCGGCTCTTGAGGGCCCAGGCCGATGCCCGAGGGCCCCAAGTCGATGTCTAAAGGTCCCACGCCGGTGTCTGAGTACCTACATGGCTAGCTCAGGGATCCACGCCAGTTTCTGAGGGCCCTAACCGGCTCTTGAGGGCCCCTGCCCCCTGCCCTCCTTAACCTCCTCTTGGGGCCGATGCCTAAGGGTCCCGCATCAGCACCTGAAAGCCCCCACAGTTATCTCAGGGCCCCACCCCAGTTTCTGAAGGCCCTCACCGGCTCTTGAGGGGCCCTAGACCGATATCCAAGGACCTCTGGCCAATGCCCGGGGCGCAGGCCGATGCCCGAGGGCTCCAAGCCGTTACCCGAGGGCCTTACACAGCTATCTCAGGGTATAATGCCACTTTCCGAGGGCCCTAACTGGCTCTTGAAGGCCCAGGCCGATTCCTGAGATACCTGAGATCCTGAACCTGTTTGTCAGTGAGTGAGTATGTGAGTTTGTCCAAGCTTTTTTGGACCTGGAGTCAAAATGGGTGGACCGATCGGGACGAAAGTGGGACCGTTTGATTCGTCTCCGGCGAGGTAAACTTTTGGTGCTGGCCTCGGTTCGCTCGGTGCTTCGTGGCACATGCTATTCCGCTTCAAAGTTTCGGTGACACGAAATTTTTTGTCAAGGCTACAGGTCAACCAGAGGTCACGGGCAAAGCCATACTGGCGGGACACATCGTTAACACCTTGAACCAGTTTCCAGTGGGGTCACCGTCTGCTAGGGGTGCAGGCTGCACGTGCTGGGGGCGGAAAACCGTTTTGACGTGAGGTCCTCTGGCTCAAAGAAATTTTAAGCTATCAACCTCAAAATCGGTTCAATGGTAGTCCCAGGCAAGGCCTCCAAAATAATGCACATTTGGTTGAGCTAAACTCTGTGGTGCATGAGCTATGCACGTGCAAGCCGATTGCACCTCTTCGTACGTTGCCACGCCTGCAGGGTAAACGGCAGCTCTAACTGGTTCAAAACTTGCAGGTCATAAGAAGAATACATTTGATCACGACATTCCGGCGAGATAATATCCGAGGGGTGCAAGCTGCGCGTGCGGGGGGCGGATAACGGTTTTGACGAGGGATCCTCTGATCCCGGGAAACGTCGATCTAGCGACACAAAAGTCGGTACACTGATAGAACTAGACACACGCTACATGATGTCATGAAAATGACTGCACTGGGGTGCCTGGGGCATGAACTATGCACGTGCAGTTAATTCATATCTTACTGTAGGTAGATATCCACACCAATCTCGCGTGCTTTCAAGCATTTTTGGGATGTTTCGGTTGGTTTCAGGTTCCTGGTTCAGTCCAAGCTCAGTCTGGGTTTCGGTGGTTTTGCCCGGTGTGTGCCCTCAGCACCGTTCCTCCAATTCTGGCCCAAGGCAACGCAAGAGCGCTGCCGGCATCTAGTTCTATGTACATGAGGTATTCCAGAGGCCGTTATGGGACCTTCAAAGACCGTGTGCGGTGCGCCGGTGACCCTTAGAATTGCCGGCGTTGGGTCTCAGGAGCTGGCGTGCGGCCTTTATGGGGCCCCAAAGCCAGCGTGTGGACCGTAGAGCAATGGGGAAGCTAAGGGGGCCGGAGGCCAGACCCCCATAGGTCATAGGGGCCAAATCGATGGGCCCAAACATCCCGCCGGCCGTGTTTTATTTTTAAACTAATTCATGTAATCCATGATAAAAAGAAGTGTGCCAACATCAACTGTGCAAAAGGTCTCTCTGAGGCCCGTAGGGGCCCTTGAAGGTCACTGTAAGCCTTTAGGGGCCTGCTTGGTAAAATCGGAGATCGATTTGGATCACGTTGCATGCATGCATGTGCATTTACTCTGCTCATGCATCTCCTGACCGTAAGATGCTCGCTCAGTCATCTTACGACCGTCAATTTTGAAGGTTTTCCCGCCCCGCTTCCTTAGAACCGGCTTATTCCGGAGCAGTGGCGGCGCTGACTTTTTGGAAGGGGCCCGGCGTGAGGTGGGGGGCCCAGTCGCCACATCTTGCACACCCTACGAGAATTTGAATCCGCGGTCCCTGCAAAACCCCAATGCCTACATACAGCAGAAAAGCAGCCACCAGGTGTCGCCACAGTCGCCACTTGGTCGCCACACAGATGTCGCGCGCGTCGCCAATCGCCACACTACCGATTTCCATAAGGACGCATATGTACGGATATGTATAGGAAAGTCGCCCTTAAGGATTACGCTTACATCCTTTGCTTATGAGGTCGGTGGTTGGAAATTGGGAGGGGCTCAGCTATTTTCGACCACGGATATGCCTTTATCACATGATGAGGAACATGCTGATAAGCGTTTTATGCGTCATAACAGCACAAAAGTATTTTTAATCATTTTTCAAAAATAGCCGTTGTGCCGTATCTTTCAGTGCAAGGTGCCGTCGGTCATCCCCGACGTGACGTCACGCAGGGAATTTGCCAGATTTTCCTACTAGACTTCGACACCCCCTGGTCCGGCGATTCTACCTGATCGTGACGTCAGCTCGTGACGTCATCTGGGGGCAAGTCTTGAAGTCCCGTTTAAGTCCTATGCAAATGGGCGATTTTTGAAGCGCTCTAGAACAAACTCTGCTAAAGCTAGCACAAAACTAAGGGCATAATCGGAAAGCCGAGACATTTTTCTTCGAATTATCTAAGAAGCGTTTCTCACTAAACCCATTTGTTTTTCCAAAAATGCGTAAAAAAGCCCCCATGCCTCCGCAGCCTCCCTTCCGCCGGCCGCCACGCCACCGCGGTAGTGTAGTGGTTAGGATGCTTGCGCCGTAATCCAAAGGTCGTGCGTTCGAATCTAGGCGCGGGTCGTACTTTATTTGAAATTGCAAGCAGAATATATGTTTTTTCTTGATAAATCACTTTAATTACAGCTAACCGTTCATAAAACTATCGATAACAATTGACTGAAACCCAAAATATAGAATATATTCTAATAAAACAAATTCAAATATGGCGGCCGTTGCGCCAGGCTCCGCCCCCGACTCCGCCCCTTCGTGTGACGTCATCTGTGCACTTGGACACACAGGGAGATAGGGGACGACATGGGCCTGCCCTGACAGACAAAGGTGAGGTGGTGACTGACTTCGTCATTCACGTTCAGATCATTTGATCCTAATAATTTAATCCTAATCATCAAATTTTGACGGATTCAACGGTGTATACTGCCTTGGATTCAACCAAGAATAGGCTCACACTCGAAAATAAAATGCTTATATAAACCAATAATACGGAAGAATGACATGCGCATGGATCTGAGAAAATCAATCTGGAATTTATCTCCAGAGACCAGACTCCATGGATCCTGATCTCGGATGTGATGCCGCCAGAAAGGAAAAACGTTATGCCAAATATGTGTGGTGTAGTGGCGGGATTGTGCAAAAAATTTCAGCGTTCGCCGCACGTCTGGCATTTCTTCGCCTACACCGAATTCAGCGCATAGTTGATAGTGGTGGTGGCTGAATTTTTAGGCACAGGGTGATCTCAGAATAGTTTGCCGAGAGACTGTCCTCAAATTTAGTCGACACACTGGTCAATCTTGGAGCAGATTCGCCCTGCAGGCAGCTCTGCTAGAGAGGTTTCGAGATGACATGTCCCCGCTCACGCTCCGGTTTTCGCGTGCTTGAATTGTCAAGCCGCCCTGAGTACTCAGTGGAGGAGTGGCCGCCCAGGTGAGGCCTCAACCCTCGTCGTGGAGATAGGTATGGAAGACCTTGTTGAACATCGCCGAGCATCAGCAAGTAATACCACAACGGTTCCTGCCCACTGCGATATCAAGGGGAATGAGAGCGCCGATGACCTGACAAACAAGTGGCCCCCCGCCCTGAAACCGCTGACCAGGGTGGTTCATTATGCAGCCTCGCATCAATGGCGCGACAACTGGTCAGAATCACTATTCAAGCCACTCCTCAGGAGCATGCCGCCCCATATCCCTGGAGAGGACCGAGAGGACGCCGTTTCGGTGCACCAGATGAGGGCGGGCCTCTGGGGCCGCTCGCTCCACTCTCCAGTGCGTGTACCGAATCGGCTGTCTGCACTCCGGCCTCCGGGGCGTGCCAGCAGTGCCCAGACAAGTGGTGCCTCGCGGCGCTCTGCGCCGTGTGCCGAGAAGAGGCTGATGTGCCGGAGCGCGCTGCTCCGCTGCCCGGCCCTCGCTGGCTCCCGTCAGCCTAGAACGCACCGCTCCGCCGATTTTTGTGGCCCTGGATCTTCCGCCTCCGGCCTTGCTTCACGGCACGACGCTAAAAGCTTCACAGTCCACACAATATGCACACCACAGCAAATCCTCACCATGCCTCCCACTGTCTTGAGTCACTTAAGTTGAGTTGAGTGCCCTGTCACTTACACCTACAGGCTACAAGATTTCATATAGGTGCATTGTAATTGACATGCTTTGCTGTCTGGCCTTGTCTCAGTGCATTGGGAGGTAATTGTTTGTGCATAACAAAAGATATTTCTGAGGCTATGTTCTCAATCCCTTGGAAGTCATAATTCCATCAGCCAGGACATGCAATGCTCCACATTTAACCCTCACCAGCTCCCATTTCCACCAAAGGGGCTGTTGCTGCCCACCTGGGTGTAGTCAATTGTTTTGGACAAATTGTCCATAGCACTGGAAATTGGCACACCTGAGCTTTTGTCCAAGTCAGATCTTGTGGGGATACAACCACATTGTCACATTTCAGATTAGCTCAGATCACTGGCTTATGGCATCACAGTCAACCTCTGCAATTGCACTCAGAACATGGCACAACTTTTTCCCTCAGTAAGAGGGAATCTTTTGTAGAAATATGAAACTTATAGAAATAAGCTCAGGAGTTCTCACAACCTGTTCAACTCATATTTTTTATAAGGGTCTCCTGAGGACTGAGGTCATATCATTCATGACTCATGATGCCTCATACTTGACAGTTATAGTTCGATGGAAATATGGAACTTATGGTAGGTACTGATAATGATCCAAGACTACCTCAAATAAGCGATCTTATAAATGATCCTATCTTCATGTGTATGTTTTGAATCTAAATCAAAGTTTATTTTCACAGCACATCCGAGAATCTAAAGCTGCTGTTTTCTGTTGCACTAAAATGGCATCAAAAAGCTCCAAGGTAAGCATGGACTCTGTCATATTGATGGATGTACTGTCATTTGCTTTTTTTGTTAGTTACCTTTTGAAATGTGATCATATTAACTTATCAATGTTTTCCGTCATGCCTGGATTCGTTGTATTCAGATTTTTAGTTACTCCCTTGTCGCCATGAGCTCTTGCTGCACCTGTGACAGCCATTATACCCTGCTACACTCGATAACTGTATGCTCTATCTGTGTGTGCGCAGCCGGCCGGCGGCGCGGAGCAGACGGAACACCTCAGCAACTGTCTGAAGGTGTTCATCCAGCGCGACTACTCTGAGGGCACGGCCGTCCGCTTCCAGAGCACCATGCCCCCAGAACTGGAGGGAAGGGTACGAAGAACGGATCCGGCAGGAGACGCCATTCTGAGCGCCATCTGAGCACTGTGGCATCTGTCTGAGTTTTGTTTCTGATTTATGTTGAGCGTTGTATATTGGGCCATGCGACGAGATTTAGATTCTTTTTTTTAATACCAATGCTCTTATTAATTGATGGGGTGGCTAGGCATTATATCCATCTTTGATTCCGTGTTTTGGCACCTTTTTAAATTATCCCTGAAATTTCGCCGTCTTACTACGTCTGGACACTTTCTTACCATCTGCCTTCCCCCGTTACCCTCAGATCGAGCCGGCCATGTTTGACAACACACTGGCGACCATTAACGAGATATTCATGGAGGCTGAGGAGCTGAACTGCGCCACCTACTGCGAGGGCTGCCTGGCCTGCCTGACCGCCTACTGTATCTACACCTGCATGGACCCGCACTACGATAAGGTCCGTGGCGTGGGGTGTACGGTGTGGGTGTGCGTTTGGAGCTCAGGAATTACTTGGAGTTCGTGTCTTGATTTTGCCGGCCTCTGAAACACTGTTGATTGAGTGGAGCAGGGGAGGACGTGCGGGAGTTTGTATGATGCAAAGTATGGTGTCAATTAGGTTTCATCTGATTAATATCAGGAAGCTGTGAATTTGTATTATGGATTGAGCGTATTACTGCCGAGCAGTCAGGGATTGACTCTGGTGTAGGTATTACATGCTTTGTAGTAATTGCCTCATTGAGCTGAATTTTGGCCCTTTCTCGTAGATAGTGTGGGGTGAACCGGTGAGTTTGCATGCTCTGTTACCGCTCAAACGATAGAAAGCTCATCACAAGAAGCACAAACGACATTGTTAAACCTCGATCTCTTGCATTTTCTAGCAGGATTTTGCTCAATCTTTGCGTAGTTTGCTGAAAAAGTAGTAAAATTTGCCATTTGGAAACAGTAAGTTAACCCTCGCCCCGTTGGGGGGGGGCATTTTGGCCCCCCCTGTGGTTTTTCCTGAATAGCAAGAAAACGGCGGCGCGCAGCGCCGCCAAATTTTCAGTACCTTTCCGGGCATCAATTTGACACCTTCACACCAAATTTCAAGTCTTAGGTCACCTTAGGTCAGGAGTTATTGAGGTCAAACTGAGGTCATGTTCGAGCAAAAATGAGCAAAAAACATGCAATCTTGAAGCGCTCACCAAATCTACAGCTATCAAGCAATTTCAAAGTTCTTTATATGGTCTAATAGACAAAAAGCGGCGCTACAAAACTGCTATCTCGGATTTTCAAAATTTTGGGTTTTTGACCCAAAAAATTTCAAAAAATTGATTTTTTTAGAAAAACTAAAAAAAAATCCAACATTTTTCCGAATTTCGAAAAAACCGGAATATATGTGATAGTCCCTGCGCTCTTCTATATACATACCAAATTTCAGATCGATATCTCGTTTTTTGGCCAAGTTATAGCGAAAAAACTGTTCAAAAATGATGACGTCAAATTTTTGAACTCAATTTTTAGCGATTCTAGACCTCGTACGGCAAAACAAAGACCACCATTGAACTCCCCGTGACGAGCTGCATCGATTCGATACCCATTTTATGCAAAAATATCAACTTTGAAATTTGACCTTATTTGACCTGACCTTGACCTGACCTTGACCTGACCTTGACCAAAACGTGACCTAAGCTGGCCCCAAAGGCTGCCTGACCCACATAATCGCATTTGTCATGTAAAATGGACCATAAAACATGTATCACACGACACTTTCATATTGTGACCCCCCAGTGACCTGACCTCAGTGACCTGACCTGGTATCAGTGACCTCAACTAGCAAAATATGTGTTTGAAGAACATTTCCCCATCGATGATTTTCAATGAAATGCATTTTACTCGATTTTACAACGCATTTCTTGAAATGCATGTAAACGGTAAAAATTGGACCTTTGACCTGACCTGTGACGTCATCGGTTTGACCTAGGTCAATAAAATTGGGTCACAAGGTAGTTCCCTGATAGGGCTATCCAACACCGTTTGCCGCTTGTCGCTACGTTGCGTGGTTCTCGAGATCTTAGGGGGGCCAAAATGGCCCCCCCCCCCAACGGGGCGCGTTGCTCGGCAGAGCCCAACGGGGCGCGGGTTAATAATACCAGTAAAACGCCTTTTGGGCGACCAACGGAGCGAGCGAGAGGATGGGCCTTGCACGTGCGAAATTGCGAGGGGGTACCTCCAACTAACTTGTGCACTGCGCCCTACTAACCGGTCTTTAGCGATGTGCCAAATTTCAGCGCAATCGGCCTAGCCGTTCTCGAGATCTGGAAGCGGCACACTGCACGTGCGCACGTGCAAGCGGGGTCCAAACTGATTTTTGCACGGCACCCTACTAACTGGTCCCCAACCGTGTACCAAATTTGAGCGCAATCGGCCCAGCCGTTCTCGAGATCTGGGAGCGCCCCCTGCACGTGCGCACGTGCTGTAGCACCCCAACCTTAACACATGCAGATGAATTATCTGATGGAGACCTACCTGTGTACCGAGTTTCAATTCAATCGGCCCAACCGTTGTGCCGTTATTGAGGTTGCAATTTTGGGGGTTCTTAAAAAATGTCCAACTTTACCACGCGCCACGTGCGGTGGTTGGCAAGAACGCATGGTGGCCATCACACCACAGAACTTTTACGTCCAAGTGACATTCAGTAAAGAAGACCGCTTGTCAATCGGATGTCCCGTTCCTAAGATATTAGCTTTTGAAAAGCGTCCCCACGGCCGGCCGGCCGGCCGGCCGGCCGGCCGCTCATAACTCAGGATTTACTCAGGATTTTCCCTTAATTCAGTATGAGACTCCGCTCGCTTCGCTCGCTCCGTAATGATTGCCGTCACAATATGGCCTACGCGAATACTGTGATTAATTAATATATGCATCCCGCGGTCTCCCCTCTTCAAAAGCCTATTACTACCCTCCATTTGTCTTCCTCATGTCCTAATAGCTCCTTCCCTCTTCTCTCTCTTGCCCTACCGAACTCTGACCGCTTTCCCTTTCTGCGTCATTCTCCGGCAGTGCGTCAAAAAATGTTCACGCTACATCGTGGAGCAGAACGAGCGCTACTGGCTACCGCGGGGCCTGCTGATCACCGACCCCATAGAGCGTGGCCTGCGGGTGATCGAGGTAAGCGTCCTCAATGAGCCAGCGCCCCAGCGGTGACGGGCCGGCGCCTCTCCTGCTGGCAACCCTGGTGCCGCCTCTGCTGCCCCCTGTCGGCACCCCTTGCACCGCCTGTGGCAGTCCGACCGCCTGTACCGCCGCCCAAAGGTGACTTGGAAGTGCGTGCGGTGTCGTAATCTGCCTGGCTGGGCTGAAGGAGACCGCAGAACCGCCTATTGACTTGGATTTGTGTTGGAGTTGAGAGGCGGGGACAGGCGGCGGAGTGAGTGTCTTGGAGTGGAGGGTGAAGGGATTTGGGACGGTTCATGGCGGCTGGGTCTGATTCGGTGGCGTCCCCGATCGGGGGAGTTTGCGATGGACTAGGGTGTCAACACTGAACAGGACACTAAAAAATCCTGACGACTGTGGAAACAGCTGTCCTCTGCGACGGATCGGAGTCGGGAAAAGGACTGCGTGAACAGAGCTTTATATACTGGACGGTCGCTGCTCGAGGACATATTGAGCGCCCGGACAGCAGATAGACTGAACTCTTTCTTCCCGGAGCGCCACTAGGAGATTAATACTGGTGGCAATGTGGTCAGTGGTGGACGAAGGGACTCGGAAATGCATTGATTGCTGTTGTCGGCGTCCTAGTGGATACTAAATGCCTGGTGTTGCATGTATGTATCTCGATCAGCACACAATATGGTGGGAAGAGTTGTGCGCCTCGAACTTGTGTGATCTGGAGACTGGAGAAGCTGAGCTGAGAATCATTTGCTGTTGATTTTATGTTTTTCTCTCAGCTCCTTGATAATATACCGGAGTTCATGGTTACTTTTTAGGAACGCGTCCATCAGATCTGTTGGCGAGGCGACAATGACAATGTTTTGACGGTTGGTGGAATTACAAGTGTGAAGGCCTACCACCAGGTGGCAGGCTGCTCGCTCCGTGGGGCTCTGCTGTTGTGTGATGCCCGGAGTCCGACGAGTGGTGTTCTCAGCTGCTAGATGGGGCGGACCGCTGATGTTTCTGACGTCAGTTTCGTGTGATGTGTCGTCAGTTGCGTTCTGAAAAATGACTGTTTGACGCTGAATCGCTGCTACCAGTTAATTTGATGGAAATCCATTGTGAAGACTCGTAACTTTGTGTCCTTGATTAATTGTGGCTACTGGCTAATACATGTACGTTAATGTCTGCAAACGTTGCCTGTGATATAGTCTGTATGAACGGCAGTTTACAATTTATATGAATTAGCCATTTACGTCAAGGCAGGTTTCGTGGTTAACGCAAGATGGTGATCCTATTTTATAGCGTACTTGTTCGTGTGGGGACATCCCGGGGCCCATTGGTATGAATCGGCATCTCAATCATCACGTCAGTTGCAAATTTCGGATGCATGTGATACGCGCCAGGCGCTCCTCGAAGAGACGGCAGGGAAATACTAGCATGCGGAATGTACAGCATCACGGCAGCATGTATCGGCAACATGTGTATTGTGTCAGCATTTATTGGCCAGGGAGACCGATTCATAACAAGTACAGCGTCGTTGGAAGCTTCTTCGTCTCTTAAAACCGCTAATAATTTCTGATGACCTTCCAGGTAGGGTCTATTCAATCCTGATTCCTGACTAACCCTGTGACCTAGTCCCGCCCGGAACTCATAACATTCACTCCTCTATGGGCCAATTACCGCATACCCGCCAGACGGAGACCGTGGTAGCCCGTCTAATCACCCCATGAACCGGCCCCGGTCGCTGCTGTGGCCGCTCCCCCTCCCGACTACCGCCCATTCGAGGGTCATCCGCTCCACGGTGACTATATAAATAATCCGCTCGGCTCCCGAGACCGGGGCGTCGACGCCGGGTAGCCGGTCACGGAAGGTCACTGGTTCGCGGGTCAGGTCAGGGCTGCACTGTGGAGCCGTAGCAATTCCATCTGCACGCGGCGCAGACATTGGTCACGATCCTCCGTCCAGCGTGCGGTGCGTGGCTGGCGTGGGTCGGAGGCCGGTGCCGCGCTCTCGGAGAGTCGGTGGGCTCCCGAAGGTCCGCCGACCTCGCTCAGATGGATTTCCGGTGGACGGTACGACGGTAGCGGTGGCCCCTGACCTCGCGCTGTGCCCGGTTCCCACGGTCAGACGGGAGGGGGTGAGGTGGACGGTGTCGGGAGCTGGAGAAGTGGATTGAGGAGGCTGTCGGCAGTGTGGGGCTAAGCTTCGGAGTTCGGCGTGGGTAGGTACTAAAAATATGAGCTTCCTTTATTTGCGATTTAAGTCGCAGCAGCATAGTGTCACTCTTGGAATACATAGCGGGTATAATTGCGCGCTAAGTATCCACGATAATTGTCTTATTCGGGAGGTGCTATGGCTACGACATTTCTACTTTACCGGAACCGTACCAACCGTAGTACCAACGATCGTCCTTCATCCCTTCATTGTCATATCGCTAATGGATTGGGCCATTATCGTTCGTCTCTTTTATTACGCATCATAAGAAAACAAAGCAAGGACGTGAATGGGTCTGCCGTTGTTCCGACTTTTTATCGTCCTAGTCGGATGACGAAATGCACCGAAAGCAGCTACGCCACAAACTCGCTCATATTAATGGGATTTCAGCACGATACCATTGCTAAATGCTAGACCTTTCTCCTGGAATAAATCTTGACCACTTAGCTAATTAGTTCTGATCCAGGTTAGCGCCTACCCCACAGGATGCTTCCACAGGATGGCATGCTTCCCTGTCATCACTCTTACGCTATCGCCAGATCTCAGCAAAGTAAGACAGCGTGCCCGGTGAAATCGACGTTGGGGTAGATGCATAACTTGCACTGTCATGTTACTGCAGCCGAGGCAAAAAGTGGGATTTCTCTCTAACGACCTAACAACTTGCGCACACTGCATGTTTTGTCGGACGTATTTTAGTATCTTTTCTCTGTGCCATGTAATTGGTCCACAGCAGGGCCCGGGAATCTGACAAACACGGCCATTTTCCCGGATGGTCATACCTCCTGCTGGGCCGCCCGGCTGCCTCTGATGATCTCGCTTCTGTCTGACAGCTCCACAGGATGACCTGAGTGACCTCAACCCAAAATAACACCGCCCGGTGGAGTGGTGTTATTTTGGCTGGGACTTCTCGCCTGTAGGTTGTAATAGCGGCAGGTGGTTTCAAAAGCTTGGAGTTGGGTTGAATGGTTCGCTATAGGAAAAGCCGTCCGATTCTCATGAGTCATCATTTCTAAGGCGTCAAACTGGCCCGTGATATATGAGGATACACCTTTCACTGTTGCCGCTGGGAACAAATTGGCCCGGAACGTTAACAGAAGCGAGGCATCCTCCATCCATCGCAGATACATAATAGCAGGCGGCGTCGAGCCCTGCCCACTGAGGAAGAGAGAGTTCGATTAAACACGCTGTTTGGATGACGCTAGCGATGGGCGATTCTCTCTCTCTCTCTCTCTCTCTCTCTCTCTCTCTCTCTCTCTCTCTCTCTCTCTCTCTCTCTCTCTCTCTCTCTCTCTCTCTCTCTCTCTCTCTCTCTCTCTCTCTCTCTCTCTCTCTCTCTCTCTCTCTCTCTCTCTCTCTCTCTCTTTCTCTCTCTCTCTCTCTCTCTCTCTCTCTCTCTCTCTCTCTCTCTTTCTCTCTCTCTCTCTCTCTCGCTCTCTCTCTCTCTCTCTCGCTCTCGCTCTCGCTCTCTCTCTCTCTCTTTCTCTCTCTCTCTCTCTCGCTCTCGCTCTCTCTCTCTCTCTCTCTCTCTCTCTCTCTCTCTCTCTCTCTCTCTCTCTCTCTCTCTCTCTCCGTCCGAGTCGATGTGCGTCGCCCGGAGTCATCACTCAACCTCAACGAGCGATGTCGGAGGAGATATCGACTCGACTCTGACTCTGATAGCCAGCTCACCGCCGTACACGCACACACGCAGACGTAAACTCTCGTGCGCGCGGTGATCGCACAAGAACAGAGCTCGGGATCGGCGAAATCGGCGGACGGTGAAGCGCCAGATTGGCCCATATGTGCCCCGAGGCAGCGCCCGTCGATGTTTGGAGAGCGAAATGTCTCTCCCGATCGGTCCTTTCTTCCCAGGGGGTCTCCCGAATCGTAAATCACGGCTCCGTAGTTCACCTGATAGTGACCGGTCGGACAGCTTTCGTTAAACAGCTTCACACGGTGCGTTAATAGGAAGCTGAGCGTGGCTTGGGAACCTGTGTGATTAATGGAGAGGAGTGTGTCAGCCGTGTTTCATCAGGGCTGTATTTATACGATGAGCCAATACGCCATGCGGGGCTCATGTGCCCGTCGGAGAGATTAATTTTAACGTCTGGAACAATTTGTCTTCGATTTTTCTCACCTATTAATTACCCAAGAAGGAAAAGTCGCCTTCTTGTATTTCTGATTGGTTCGAATTAACTCTCTCAAATGACTTGACAGTGTCATATGTCTTGCTGATGAGACTAATGTTTTGTATTTTTCATTCGGGCCATGGGGATGGCCATGTGCTCTTTTGTTTGGTTGCAAGACACTTTTATGAACGTTCTAGTGACCATCCCGTTCCGAAGTGCGATAAGCTCATTGGGCATGGTTCATACGTCAATGCAAAGCAATTCATACAACTGGCGCTGGAAACTTGGGAGCCCTGGCTAGAGTTGGTGTTTTGTCAAGCTTTTAACGATTGACGAGTGAGAGGTGGTGGAAGTGGTGCTATTGTTAGCACTGGGGGATAAGTGGCTGAAAAGATGCCCCTTATGGTAGCTACCTTTTGGGTTTGATATACCTAATTGCACGAATTTACATTAAGCTCGAAAATAATAAAAAAATAGCTTATAACGTTACAATGCGAGCAACCCAAATTTAAACGCACTCTAATTGATTCGTGTAATTTATCATATTAATCGTGAAACTTTCATATAATTAATTTAATGTCTATACGCTTTAGTTTGTCAATGCGATTAAAAATGTCATACCGCCTTGAAGACAATATATTTTAGTTAATACGGTGAAATAACGTAGTGAAAAAATGTAATAGCCTAAAGTGTTGCCTTCGACTTCGCTTCAATGTTTAATTAAATAGCTGAATGTGTCTTTAAAACCATTGATTACGGAGCGAGCGAAGCGAGCGTAGTCTTTCCTTAGATTAACGGAAATTTCTGAGTATGAGCGGCCGGCCGGCCGGCCGTGGTCATGCTTTTGCGAGGCTTATATCTCAGCAACCACTTGACCGATTTACACGCGGTAATTTTTGTAGGGTAGCTTCATTCCTTCTACCAAGTATTGGACTATTCCCGATGCATGTGGGTGACCCCTTATGCACGTGCCACGTGCAAAACGAAGAGGTGTCACTTTTGTAATTGTTGCAATATCTCGGTAACTACTTGGCCGATTGCGCTGAAACTTGGCATGTAGGTAGGCACCCACTAGGCAATGCATATCCATGTGCCAGAGTTGGGGTGCTGCTGCACGTGCGCACGTGCAGGGGTCGATTCCAGATCTCGAGAACGGCTGGACCGATGGCGCTCAAATTTGGTACATGGTTAGGGACCGGTTAGTAGGGTGCCGTGCAAAAGTCAGTTGGGACCCATTTTGCACGTGCGCACGTGCAGGGTGCCGCTTCGAGATCTCGAGAACGGCTGGGCCGATTGTGCTCAAATTTGGCGCATCGCTAGAGACCGGTTAGTAGGGTGCCGTGCACAAGTCAGCTGGAGGTACCCCCTCGAAATTTCGCACGCGCAAGGCTCACCCTCTCGCTCGCTCCGTTAGTCGCCCCAAAAGGCGTTATACTGGTAGTATTAGTTAATGCTAAAATAAAGTACCATAAATGTTAAGTACTAGGCACTAGCTAAATAAGTTGGTCTTCCGCATATGTTTATGCACGATTTTGCTCTCGTGTTAAGGCTGCGCTCTCTAATCTGCCTTAATTATTACAAAATACGTTCGCTGCGGCATTCTTCCGGTGTCATTGTGCGTCCTCGATTCCGCTGAGAACCTCTGCTACTCTCCGGAAGCGATTCGGAGTGGACGCCGTTTTCTGCAGCCGTCTGAGACAATAATTGCGCAGGATGACCTCTCATCAGCTGCTGCGTCTCATTATCGCCCGCTCCTGAAATTAGTGGCCGCGTGTCCGGAGCCGACTAACTGCCGCGCTGACCCCGTCTCTGCCGGGACCGCCACCCGCTCAGTAGCTGTCGTGAGCTGCGGGGGTCCGCGGATAACCTCTTCATCGGAGAGAGGGGCACTGGGACTCTAGAGAAATGCATAGGTGAAGACAGGAGGGCTGTCAGTAAAAAAAAAACAAAAACATTATCTTATGAAGATGTGGTAAAACGAAATCAGCGTAGAAGGCAATACTTGCCATACGTCCTCATACTGACGACATGGAAGACCGCATTTCAGCCTCTTTTCTTTTTGCAAAATAGCGGTTGCCCCCTCCGATATATATCTTAAAGCCGTTGTCGGGCACTTCTGTGACGACATGGGTGGATTTTGATCGTCCATCCCATCACCTTGTGAGCGGTGAAGTGTGAGTCCATCCGTACCACAATATTTACCATTCACTGTAGCTGCACTGCGTAATGCATAGCCTTCATATCTCGTCGTTCGCACGTTGTCTCAGCCTCAGGTACCAGCCAAACAACCACCACATCTAGCCATATCCATTTCTTTTCAATCTTGCTAGCACGACTGTCTGCTGACCTAACCCTGCCACCACCGGTCACTTTCCCTTACAATCCTGTCGAATCCCCCGTGTCATCCGTCCTGGACTCCCAGACGGATCCGGGACAGATACAGAACCCGTGTGCACTGTGCAGCTCCCCCCACCTCTGAGACGAAAACCGTGACTCGTGAGAGTGGAATTCGGCCCGGGCTCACCCTGTCCCAGTCCACCAGCCCACTGACAGTACCAGATACACAATACACGGTCTCAGAGCTGCAGAAGGTGGTGTTGTCCGTGCAGAAAGCGTTCCGGAGTGGTCAGGAGAGGCACGAGGTCCCCTGGGAAACGATCACGGCACTCCTTGCTGGAGACGTAAAACCCCAATCACAGCTCACAAGCAGTTACAAAAAGGCCTCAACCGTGAACGAACACTAATTCTGGTCATGCGAAGACATGTCGATAATTTACCACAGCTATGAACTGACATTTAGTTTCTCATGATCTGTGCCTCGTACCCAGTAAGTCACACTCAAAAGACACGTATCGGTGCACGTTGTATTTGCCGTGCTACACGGATGTGCCTCTCTTCAGCGAAACTCTGAGCGACCTTCAGCTGATGCACGGCGACCTTTCCTTTGCACCTGGCACATGTGAACAACTCCCGAAAGCGCCTGTGATGAATCATCAGCTGGGCGAGGGCAGGTGCCGAGTAATTTACCAGAACACTTGTGGACGACACGTCACGAGCTCGGTGGACGCCGTCAGTCTCAGGACAGGCAAATGTGTGATGTAGAGCTGGACCTTGTATGGGAGTTACAGATCATATAAATCAGTAATCACTTTGTTCGTAGCTGTTACAGGCAATTAACTGCTCAACCTCTGCACTGGATGTTTCAATCTATCTGTGCTTATTTCGCTAGACGTTAATCCGGACGATATCCCAGAATGCTAGCTATTTGCGTAGGCACATATCCTGCTTTATATGAATTTATAACCGATATAAATTAATAAGTCTAAATCTTTTGCGACGAAGAATTAGAAACGCTGAACTGTCAAACCACGTTGTGTAACAGACCGACCGAGACTGTTCTTTTTGCCAAAAGGTGGCGTTAGTAGTTGACGCCTGAAGTTATGCTGTGCCGCATTGCCTATAAGCATTGCCTATATACGGCCTTGCCTATAAGGATGGGCCGTGGGCGTTTAACGCCATGAGTTCAGTGTTTGACATTCAATGGGAAAAGTAATCATGCTAATGCACTCTCAATGGATGCATGGTCTTCTGACCCTCCCCGCACTGCTGGCAGTGAGCCAGGGGCGCGTTCCGGTGCCCTTTGACCTTGTCAGGGTCAGCGCTCGACCCGGCCCCTGTCCGGGATGTCAATCACGTTCAATAACCACCAGCCGATGATTCAGTCGGCTCTGTCAACCCTGTCGCTCGGCCGGAACCGTGTCAATGCACTGCCAGACACAGGCTCGCCTCATACTGATGACACTCATGTATTCGCGACCCGTCACAAACATACACACACCGCCGCAGACACGCACACAAACGTGCAGTTAAAGCCATTACTTAACGATTCGATCTGTGCCTTTATATGTAAAAGCACGACATCCGTCTATACGCGTCGGCATTACTTTGTTCGTTTTAGGTTCGATGGTGGGAGTCAGTGGCGAAAGATCTTGTCAGCTATTCTTACGGCTATTTTTACAAGCTTATCTATAAATGTTTATATCTTAAATGGAACTAATTTATGACGACGAGTATACACAGTGTGGAATTTGACATTAGTGCTGTAGTGTTGTGGTGTCTATTTAATACACATAAAATACTATGACGATGTGAACATGAGCACTCACTCAACACAACTAAAACACATGATTCAACAAATCACTCTTCAGTCACGCGTGCAAAAGGCGACATGTTTTCTCACTTGCCAATATAATTTGTATGCAGCGTGACCTAATGTTCTATTGTTCTACCCTTCTCACCCACTTTCGTTCGAACAGAAGTCAGATCCAACGAAACGCGACACACAATAAAACAGTGCTGAAATTCCATACAGCGCAACGTTTACCCTAACGGCGCACGACATGAAAACCACGGCTCTCCTGCGGTAATCACGGCGCGTGGTCGGTAATCACGGCGCTGTCTACATCGTGACGCAACGCCGCGTGTTTTTTTCGTGGCTCGCCGAGCCGTCGTGACCCTGGCCTGTCTTACAGGCCACCCTTCACACTGCCCCTCGTACCGCCCCTTCCCCCTGTATCGCCCCAAGACCGGGCCCTTGGGATCTGCCATCGGACCCAGACGTCCAACCCAACGTCTTTAGAGGTCAGCCAACAAACTCAGCTGCGCCTTGTGGAGGATTCTTCCCACGGATAAGGTCCAGCTCGCGCCACGAGCTGCTAGACTAGCGCCTCCGGTGCGAGGCATGCCATCGTTCCTCCATCTTGAGAGGATTCTTCAGATCGTAGACTATTCGCGTGAATGACAAACAAACACAGACGGCGCGGTCAGTCGCGGTCAGTTAGTGCCAATGTCTCTCTTTTGCCGCGCCTGTTGATCGCGACGGGCCACCGTCATAGGCGACACATGTCCCCGTTCCAGTCACCGGGGTGTAGTTGTTGAGGTCACCACCAGGCGGCGCTCACATCATGTCGACCCGTCGGCCGTTGGGCTCCAGACCTTGCTCCTGTCTCCAACAGGCCAGACGATGGCTGAACCAGCGCTGCAAAAGATACGAAACAGGTCATAAACATGTTACATGATTCATGAAACGCCACGCCCCGCGCTAAACACTGGAATATAGAGTATAACAGTGGCTGGAACACATTCACTGAATAAAAAACGTAAAACGAAAACCACCATGCTGGAAGTGGACTATCCATATCGTGAGACACGAAGAGTCATGATGCCATGGCTCTTCGGTGCGTGCAAGTTGAAAAATTAGACACATCCCGGGTCATGAGGGGTTGAAGGTATCACGCCTGGCGGCGCTCAAATGAGAATGGACCGCGCAGTCGCCATTGTTTCGCGAGTCGTGTTGTGCGGGGTCACTGACCCTCACTGTGTGCGGGTGCCGAAACAAGCGGTCGTGCCGCTGGCCCGTGCACCGACCCACGGTAGCATGTAACCGTGTGTCCGTGCGATCACAGCGTGGGACCGATGCACCCGTAAAGCTGCGTTTACAGTCGCGCAAAGTCAGTGAGGCGTGTTCAATGGGCCGCACATGTCATCACTCACGGGCGCTCTTTGGCGTGTAATACACAGAGTGCGCTCGGTAATGAACAGCCACGACGGGCGGCCGTCAGCCGGGCTCGGGCTGCTGACTGACCGAGCGGCTGACGATGTCATTCTGCCGCCTGAGGGCGCCGGCGGCTCCCACCAGAGCCACCCGAGCGACACAAATCGATCGACCATCATCAGTCACAACAGCTCGCGAAAGTGGTTGTCGGTGGTCCGCCAAAATCGGCGCCGGACTCAACCGGCGCGATAGTCGCGTATCGGTGTCGGACGCAGGCTCTAATCGGGAACTCCAGAGCGATACCCTATCGTCCAGGCTCATAGGCGGCGGAACGGGGAGGGCACGGGGGCACCGTGCCCCCCTTTGATTTTGGCATTTTAACATTAGCCCTATGGGCGTTGCATGGAAAGAATGGGACCAAAAGTCGGCAGTGCCCCCCCCCCTTAATTGGAGGTGTTCCGACGCTACTGTCCACTGTCCAGGCTTCGTCATTTGGGTATTCCGGGCTCCCACTTCCCAATCCAGGGGCGTGGGAGGGGGGAGGGCGACAGGTGACACATGTGACGCTGCCGTCGTCACCGTCACCGGCGCCGTTTCTCTTTGTGACGCCGCGCACTGGCGTGGGAGCCGCGTATGGCGCAGCGTTACGAAAAGGACGCAGCTGGCGCGTCATTACTGCCGTCGTTGCGGCGGGATTGTCGCCGGCGGACAATGGCGCTTCCTGCGGGCTTCGTGCCCCGGCTCAGAAGGGTGATGGAATGGGGACCGTCTCAATGGGACCGTGATGGGGGTGGGAGACCGTTTAAATGGCACTGGAGTTCCTCAGGTGGGTACTTTGGGGTCAGTGGACGCAGGATGGGCGTGAGAAAGACGTAATAGCCCATGCTACCACAACGGGGAACGACGGGTTACCTGCCTTGTGGCAATGAAGTCACCAAGCTGTTGGCCTGGTCCCGGGAAACGGTTTTATTCTTATAGCCGCGGCGAAAAACGCTGAACCAGCTTCGCAGTGCGCAGGCACTGTAACAGCATTCGGTAGCAAGGGCCCAGCTCAAGATATTATGCTAAATTCAAGTCCCGGGCATGGTTATTGGTTATTACCCCACCATCTCTGCCTGGATCCGTCACTACGCAACTCCTGCTCCCGGCTGCCTGTCTCTTCTCATTTCATTGTGATTCCTCATTGCGACAAACTACAATCCCTGAGCCGGAACCAGTGTCAAAGTAGGCCACATGCCGTCCCGTACCGTCTCCAAGATTGCGATTACGCTCCCGTTGTGCTTTGGTAACCGGGGGCCGGGCGGTGACGACGTTCCGATGGAATTACTCGTCGCGCCTCCCTCTCATTCGTCACGCATAATGACCCGATCAGCTGCTCGGTGACGTCATACATTCTGTGACGCCACCGATCTTGAGGCGTTACCGAATCCGGGCGAAAGGAACCAACCAACGCCTTACAACACGACACTTCCCGTCACAAATGTCGTTGCGCGTTTCGCCCATCTACTATTCTGTTAATTTTAACCAGTAAAACGCCTTTTGGGCGACCAACGGAGCGAGCGAGAGGATGGGCCTTGCACGTGCGAAATTGCGAGGGGGTACCTCCAACTAACTTGTGCACTGCACCCTACTAACCGGTCTTTAGCGATGTGCCAAATTTCAGCGCAATCGGCCTAGCCGTTCTCGAGATCTGGAAGCGGCACACTGCACGTGCGCACGTGCAAGCGGGGTCCAAACTGACATTTGCACGGCACCCTACTAACTGGTCCCCAACCGTGTACCAAATTTGAGCGCAATCGGCCCAGCCGTTCTCGAGATCTGGGAGCGCCCCCTGCACGTGCGCACGTGCTGTAGCACCCCAACCTTAACACATGCCTATGAATTATCTGATGGAGACCTAACTGTGTACCGAGTTTCAATTCAATCGGCCCAACCGTTGTGCCGTTATTGAGGTTGCAATTTTGGGGGTTCTTAAAAAATGTCCAACTTTACCACGCGCCACGTGCGGTGGTTGGCAAGAACGCGTGGTGGCCATCACACCACAGAACTTTTACGTCCAAGTGACATTCAGTAAAGAAGACCGCTTGTCAATCGGATGTCCCGTTCCTAAGATATTAGCTTTTGAAGAGCGTCCCCACGGCCGGCCGCTCATACTCAGGATTTTCCCTTAATTCAGTATGAGACTCCGCTCGCTTCGCTCGCTCCGTAAAAAGTAAAATGTGGTCTAATCACATCAAGAGCGTGCACCTCGAAAACGATCGATCGCGCTTCGCGGCCGCTCTGAGACCCCCTGATGACGTCACCACCCGGCAGGCGCCGCGATGCCGGGCATTGCACGCGGCGCGGAACATGGTTTACAACTGCGGTCCAACCGAGAGCAGCTCGCCGTATTTGGTCGTCAGCTAATCTGCCGGGTGTGATCAGACCGTTACAAGCCGGCGTCTGCCGGGCGCCGCCGGGCGGGGAGGGGGCGACGAGAGGGGGCGAGGAGGGGGCGCTCGGGGGTCAGCGAGGGCGACAGGCCGGCGGGTGTCATACAGGCGTATCGTGCGGCTTCGACGGGTCACTAGGGGCGTGTCCGCGGCGTGATGGGTGTTTCGGCACCGGGCTACAAAGCCGGCCACGTTTATGGATGAGATGAGTAGACTAGTTGGCGGTTGTCGGGCCGACATGACAGCCGACGTGGATTCTAACATGGTCGGATGTCGGTCTGACATGGTCATTGGGGCTGGGCTGCGGAACTCGAATGTCGGAACGATTTAAAGCCTCTCTCTGAAAGCTGATATGGAAATGAGTTGAACCATTTATCAGACGTATTCATCGTTTAGGCCGTGGGCTCCTCTAAATGCCAGCGACCTTCGTGGGTCCATCTGCCTATAAAAAGGACACAATTTCTCCTACTTATCATAGTTTGATTAAAAACTACTGTAAAAAGGAAGCGAAATCAAGAGCATTCCTTATCGGGTCTCCATTAGGCAGCTAAGAGCACTCCATATATGATAATGCGTAAGCAGTGGTCGCCAGCGTAAGAATCACAGCCAATGACCAAAGTCAGAGACTTAATTTCATGTGCGAAGGCACCTTTGCACATTTTTAGTGAGCGGTAACGTCTTACTCGCAGTGCCTCCTATGCACGGCTGTCATGATGTCATTCGTAGAAGCGCCACCCACCGCGTCCAGTGAACGCGACGGTACCAGGCCTCCCGATCACCAGAAGCAGATCGTTTGGGGCCGGCTGGTGGGGATGGTGCGACTGTGCAGTTCGCACTACCGCAGATAACCTGCTCGGTGCGGGCGGCGCGGGCACTGATCACTGTGGCGCTCATTATGGGCTCGGTAGGCAGTAGAGATCGACAGTATAGATCCGAAGAGAGGCATTACGCGGCAATAGTGATCGGCTGTGTAGATGGACGGCTGAAGACGGCTCTAAGTCGCCCGCCAGTAGCGAATAGAGTGCTAAAACAGTCCGGTACGTGAACGTTAGGTGTCGGGGTGAACTATGCTGTCTCCATTGGCGGCCGTGGTGCACACTCTCGATAGTTACTCCGTGCTGTGCAAATGAGCTGCATTGATTGCACAAGGCGCCTTCCGTAGTTATTTATAGGTTGCGACAGGAACGCGATCAGTCAGCTCGGAACGTAACAAAGTCAAGGACAAAAGCTGATGAAACTCCACATGCGCCTCCCATTGCCACGAACCCTATACCAAATGTTCCAGGGTTAATCTCAGGGGACATCTGGCCACCGCTCCAGTTCAGGAGATAGCCGAGAGTCTTGCCCCACTAGCCACCCCTAGCCTGCTGCAGATATCGCCTCGCCGCGGCTCTGCAGGCTGGATTTCCCGTCAGGGTGGCGCCGACCGTTCGGAATTTCACGAACACAGACCGGACCCGGACCGTTCCACCGACTCGTGACCGGACCGTGGACCAATTGGTCCTAATTGATCGGGTAACTGGTGAGGGGAGGCGTCGGGAAACGATTCAAGAGGCCATCGATGTTATCGAGGGTGTTGATCATATCGCTATTGTGTCGGGTGAGGGTTCATAGCGGGTGGCCGATGAGACGACGGGCACAGGTATATTGGCTGCTGGGTGTCAGAGTTCAGGGACGAAATTGATAGCGATTGAAATCACGGATTTGATAACGATGAGGATCACTATCTACTGATAAGATATAAAGCAGCATACAAAATGTGCAGCTAAACAGTCCATCGCGACTTCAGGAGTGCCAGTGAGAATGACTACAGCGCCGCTCATGAAATTGATAGGTATACGAGTTAAGGTGTGGCTATAGAACAGCGGAACTGGTCATGCAGCTTACATGACACGGGACCTAAATATCAGATAAAAAATGTGTGCAATATTAGATAATTGACAGCATCCCTATGACATTTTCAAACCAACTCACAAGGCAATGTTCGATGACACATGCTCCCACAAATCCACATTTAATGTTGCTAATCCTCATGGTCTTGGCCTTCCATCCGGACAGTTATATGACCTTGGCGCCAACTTCGTGCACCCTTACTTTGTGCGCCCCCACACTTTCACCAAGCAATTGTGAGACATCGCTCTGCGCTCATCACTTTTACGCGGACCATCGGGTAGAATCGTTTCATCGTCGACCAGCCACCGTCCCTCCCCATCCATTGCCGCCCCGCCCCCTCTCCGTCCTTACCCGGATCTGTGCCTCGTCCACGCCCTGTTCGACAGCCAGCAGCATCAGGTCACTGTCGTGCGGGTTACGGTTGGCACGGAAACTCTCCTCCAGGGCAGCCTGCTGGCTCTCGGAGAGCGGCGGCAGCTCGCGCGACGGCGACAGCTGCGGGGATACCGGAGACAGCTGGCCGGGAGAGAAGCGGGGCGGAGAGGGGCTGTTGCTGTACCGCTCCCAGCCGCCCGGCACCGACCTGAGGGCAGACACAGAGGAGACGTCAGAGAGTGGCTCGGGTATGGCAGGATTTTGTTATGAAGGCGAAATCAATCAATCAGGTCGAAATCATGTGACGGTTATAAGGACTAAAAGAGTACGAGGCTAGAATTGAGAAGGAAGGGAAAGATGCGTAAGACTCGCTTGGTAGAAGAAGAAGACCAAGTAGTAGAAATGGTTCGTACGGAATGCAATGCATATTGAGCTCCTGCGATTTGTGAAGCCAGAGGACTTGGGATCGAATCGATAAAACGAGGTCAGCTATAGGCTCAAGCTAGAGCAGGCACATGAACACGATGGTGCAAAGTCGTGGCAGGAACCACTGTGCACCCTGCACGATTCTTGGCGAAGGCTGTGCTTGCGCTTTAAGCTAAGCCTCTCACTTAGAGGGCAAAGAGAGCGATTTCATTGAAGTCGTGACCTGGGTCGATATATCCCGACTTTCGTGAGGCTGGAAAATACTTCCTAATCTCATACTTGTTTCCTTTAGCCTCTGAGCGTGACATAGCTTCGCGGCGAATCAGACATCATTCGGGAATATTTTGCCGCCGAGAGATTATCAACATTCCATTGCATCAAATCAGAGAAAAGGAGGATAGCTGTCACTCGAGATCAAGGTCAATAACGAAGCCATGAAAAAATACTTCGCACGAGAAGATCGTAATGCGTTACAATAATATCGTATCGGTATTTACTAGTTAGTGAAATATTAAATGCATTTGACTCAGGAGAATTGACAGTTGAAGACTTGCACAGGAGATAAATATAAGGCAAAACTATGCGCTGCAATGTCTGCTTTCATCGTCATCATTTAGGTACCATGTTCGTCATCGCTGGCCTAGATAAATGGAGTCCAGGAACATTCTTGGCAAGGTTGATGGACGGCAGATGCGACTCATGCCATAACTGTTTATGCCTTCACCATGACACGATAATGGCATGTTTTAGTGTCTATCAGCATCGTGTCTGTCTTAGGACGGGGAGCGGTCTGTCATGATTATTTACCCACGTGCTTCACGGCATACCGGCAAGCACGTAATCCTCTCTAGTAATCACTCATCGCATATATCCCACCGACGACTTGGGCAGAGATGTTGTCGTTATGTTTAATTTTATAGCTGAGGACAAGAGGTCACCTAATGAGGATCTCTTCGATCAAATTGTGTTAAATGTTCGTCTCTGTATTTCGCATTTCAGGAGAGGGACTATTCGTGCTATTGCTCCCTCATATATGGTACTTTTTCCTCACGGCCTTTGTTACATTGTAACAGCTGCATTCCATCGAAAAAAGGCGCTCCGAAGCGAAGTTTGAGCTGCATCATTTCCATTCACCGATTAGCATGACAAGAGCCATACATTCGCTGCCGTTCGACAGCAAACACAGCATCCTATGTCAGTACGTCACCCGATGGCAGCCTGTCACGAGCGAGGGTCACGCGACAAAAACGGTCCTCGCTTAATGCAGCCAAATGAAGCTATTGTTAGGGCCAAAGTGGCTAAACGGCGTCGTTTGAGCGCATGCCGAGGAGAAATTAGTCACTAAAGCCAGCGGATATGCTTTGTCGTTTCTCTGTATGAAATTACTCTGACTTGCACAACAACTTTCGGTGTGGCGAGAACCTGATTTCCCTAGCTTCATTTCGCCGTTTAGCTGAAATGCTTTACGGTACAGACATAGTTAAAACGACGCATTGTCTTATTTTACTGCATCAATGCGGTCTAGGGAAGGACGCATATTCATCACTCATAGCGTTAATTTCTGTACTTCAAGAGCAAACTTTCCATGTCGCACAAAGCGCGAAGCTGTCCCATGACTCACTGAGTTGAGCCGCCTAGTTATAGCGCCTTGTTTCCCGTAATCAGCTCAGCCCCGTCTTCCCACTGGGAAATTCTCCCAGAGGCCGCGCGGGGCGGCTGCTGTTGCTGGGCCATTCTCGGCTGAGCCGGCAGCAGTGGTACCCGAACCGTGACTAACTATCCGCAGTATCCGGCCGGAGCCCCGCGCCAGTTTCCGCCGCAGACGGCAGGTAGTGGCGCAGGCGGCGTTGTCGGCGCACACCGGCCCCGTCCAGCGCCACTTGCGATTCATTCGTCACCAAAAGTAAATGTGCCCGGTGCCGTCACGTGTGACGCTATCGACGGGTAAAGACTTCGGAGTCCAAGAGGATGCGCATGTCTTGCCCATGTAACAACAACGACAACTGTTCAGTGTCAGTCCATCACCGCCGAGCTGAGCCCGGTGTATTCCTAGCACTTCAGCAGATCCACGATGTTCTTCGCGCGGTTACAGCTCTCGCTAGCTATAGCTGGCACAGCGCTGGTTGTACGCAGCATGTAATCACGCACGCTCGGCTGCGATGCGGTGTGTTCACTAGACTGGACCCGTCTAATTGGCTCGGCGCCTCGGCGGATCAGCGGATGAAGTAGCGGCACGAGCGGAGCAGATGGCCTACGTGAGCCGATGATCCCCCACCACAGTCGTTCAGGTCGGCTCAGTGTGATTACAGGCGGCACAGGAGCTGTTTGCACTGCCAGAGGAAGGTTGGAGGCGGACCGCGAACGTGATTTCCTGTGACCGCAGAGTGACATTGAAATGGGAGCTCGCCATCTACAACCGCTATGGATACGCTCTGTGACTGGACATGAATTTCCCATCAAAATAACTACCATGAGTCATGACCTTCAGACACCATTATCAACACCGAGAACTAATGGTGCGTTACAGATTTCCTCAACACCTGCCCCCTGCAATGCAATTAGAGTCACTCCGTGAAGCATACAAATCTTTCACAGAGTGGTAGCTCGTCAAGACACACCCGATGGCCTCTCGTCTAGTTCAAAAGGCGCCGACCGTCACCAGTCGCTCGCTCGGCGGACCGAAGTCATTCTGCGGCGGCTGTGCGAGCAGTGCTGTGGTCGTATTCCTCGCATTCCGCCATGAGAACAAAGGGCCACCGCCGCAGGCCATGCGCCGCCACGTGACATGCGCCGGTGAATGGCACCGCGTCTGGTGCGGTACGGGGCGTCGGGTACGGAGGAAGATGAACCTCCGTCGGAGAATAATGTTGATGTCGGATATTGTCTGACTCGGAGGATTTGGGGTTAGTCCTTGTGATACCGTTACCCCTTCAAACCAGTCGGCTGGGATATAACTGGGATATCCAGGAAGATTGAACTGTCTGTCAAAGGATTTGACAAGACAGTCACCATCGCAGGACCTGACATTTGGCGACCCGAATGCAAGGCCAGTCTAAAACCAGGAATAGAACAGGAAAAGATCTCAGATAGCTCCGCGCTGCGTGCGGGTGAAAAGCTCACACCGGACTCTGCACAGTTCTATCGCTGATCTGTATTCCCAAAAACGCGTTCGTTGAACGGCCGTGCAAGTGTCGATGTGCGTGCACGTAACATTGAATTTCATGAGCTTGCATGTGATTCACAAGTGATACCGTTTCCAGTTCTGTTCTACATATCTGAGAAGTCGCCGCTACAGCTGTTCTTTCCCGTTGCTTGCACACGCGACTTAGCGATATGAAGTACCGGAATAGGATCCCCGTCTTCACCAGTTCTGCAGCTGTCTGACAGTCTCCAGTTCCAGCAGTCACATCGCCTGCAGGGGCGTCACACCGTGACGGTCGGACAGTGCGTGTCCAGCCGCCGCGTCACGATCTGAGTCATCGTGTCCGGCTCCGTGGGACCGGGCCGGGGAAGTGCCGGCGCGACTCACATCCTGTGCGCGACGGACGGGGTTTTATGGCCGAATCATGTCGGCAGCACCGAGCCGTGTCCCCTGTCGAACTCACGACGGCCCAAATGGATGTCTGCAGCGGCCCGCAGTGCCGTCCGACACAGGGGGATTAGCTTTGTTTGTCCTGGGTTCTTCTGCGCTAGCGGAGACGCTGATCCTTCTTTCGTTCGACCTTGTATAGGGATGATATCGGGAAATCGGAGGCACGTAAACGTCCCCATGGTTTCCGTGTGGTGTCATCATAACAAGCCGCACTGCCGCGGTCCGGACAGGGACCACGGACCGAGACCAGGGACCGTCCCAGCCCCAGACACCTGGACCAGGTGAACCGCGGTCTAATTGGTCCTCGGGATCGGTGTCGTCGTTTCCCGGTGTGCTGACCGCCACCACATCGACCTTCGCTGAGCAGGTGTAGACGATACGTGAGGCGGTGATCTTTGACAGATCTACGCCCGCATGTGTCGGACTTGGTGGGGAACTTCAGGGCACCTTCAGCATATTTCTGATGAGGAAGGAGGATCGTCTTCCATTCAGGTTATGCACCCTCCGAGAATGGCAGTGCCCAAGTTTTTATCTTCTAATGGCCCATAGATGGTCATCGGTTTTAGCTCCCAATCTATGAAGGAGATCTAAGATAGTTAAGCTGGTCGTGGCTTATAATATGATCCACCTTATCACCACTAAACAGATCGCATTACAAGGTCTCGCCGCCTGCTCTGCAATATATCTCACACGACATACAGGCGCGATATACCTTCTGCAGGCACCCTCTACCTCTGCAGCGTCCCCGATGGCAGTCGAGTTCCACCGGGGCGCCTCACGGTGACCTCCGCCGGGCTGCGTCACCCCGCTCGGCGGTCAGCTGTAGCCTGTAGGAACGTGCGGCTGCAGGCCGGCACGACTGTCCAGAGCGGCCTCGCGTGACCTCGCGCCATTGACACGGTCAGTCGCCGCAGCGGCCACCGAGGCCGGATCTGACGACACGCACGTGCGCCGATCGAAAAGTACCGGCGCCGCTACGGTTCCCTGTGGAACGCCGCCGCCTGGGGTCGCCCGAGGTCAGAGCTGCGACACGCAGCGTCATTGAACAGTTACGTCATAGGCCTGATACTAGCCCTGCGTGGCGATTAAAACTGCAGCTTGGATTGGTGGTTGGTCGAATCGGCACAGGTGTTCTAGCCAAGCTCCATGTGCATGTCAAAAAGCTGGGGTTATTTATCAGTAAGACGCCA